GACTCCTTCCAATTGTAGGCGCTTTTAAGTATCGGTTATTGTGATTATAATCTATCTTCACTTACATCCTAGTTTAGCACCAGCTGAATCTTAGCTTACTAAATCTTTCAAGTACTTTTGTAAGAGTAACTGCTGTTTCACTGAAAAGCATTGGAAGTTATGTCTGAACTCGTCTTTCAGCATTTCTACTTGTGCTGAGGATGCAGGAGCTGACCAACATCCATGTTGATCATCTATTGTTCCAAACAAATAGACAAGCTATCCAAATTCTCCCTTTTCCGTCATTATTTCCATTTTGCAGTGCTATAAGACTGTCAAACACTGATAATAATCTCTTGACACTCCTCTTCCCTGGAGCTGTTCAAGAAATATTTAGATGTTATATAGAGAGACATGGTTTAGTGGGAAACACTGGTGATAGGCAGATGGTTGGACTCGATGATCTTAGAGGCCTTTTCTAATCCTGGTGATTCTATGATAAATCTCTGCAGTGTTTGCACTTTAAGCTATTTACGTGAATGCTTCAGAGATAAGATTGTGAAGCTTTTCATTGTGAAGTTGTATGCAAAGTCATTCCTATGTCCTTCTGGTTCCTTCCTCACATGGTATTTTAGCTATGAAGGGTGAGTATTTTGATCTTGCATTTGGTTTGTCTTACCACAGTGTGATACACAGCAGTGTTCTTGAATATAATTGTTATATCTTCAAAGCTCTATTAGTTGTTCTATTTGTTCCTTTTTTCTTCGCTGGAAAGTAAGAACCAGACTTTTTTACCAGATTGTGATGTTACAGGTTTTTAAAAAGCCTCTTTTTTCACCCACAGAAGTGTTTAGTGCTTGAAAGACTGATTGTATGCACCTGTAGATTTTTTATTACCTACATTCTATTACAAAACTTGAAATCTGATGAACTCACTGAACCCAGTGAGCATTCCACCAAGCAGAGCAATAAACTATCTGTTATATCCATGTCTTACCGATTCCCTACAGAGCTGGAGTTACTCATCTTTCACCTTATTCTTTCATTTTTATAAATAGCAGGCAAATCATGCAGCTCTTTCTATACATTTTGTCTGTATATCAAGTGCTCATGAAAGCAAAATGCACATCAGTAAGATAGGACAGATCCAGCCAAAGCACTACATTACATTTTAGGCAGTTCTCTTTTCAGAGCCTTCTATAAGCTGACAGACATAACATGCATATTAACATAGGAACATTCTCAAGAAGCCAGAAGCATTTTGTCTTTACTTTTGTAAGTAATGTTGTGTAACAGTCTTTGACTCCTGCTCATTAAGCAATGTGGAATTTCTCCAGGAGCAATGAGCATCTTGCTTATAAACTGAGTAAACTTGATAGAGAAGACACTTTGAAAATGGCTATAACAAGAAATAGGGCTTTCCCTGCTTCAAGGTCAGATAATTCCCATATTTAAAGCACTTTGTTATTCTAAGTCTTTCTGTTTTTGTAGCAGCTCACCAGTTTGCCTTTAGTTATTTAGCCAGCACTATGAAGATCAAAGTGTTTATCACAGGTCCAAACTAAATTAATCATTTTATTTTAGAGACCTTAATAAAAGAACTTAATGAAAGCAGAATAGCCACGGGCTTTCTTGAAGTTGGTAGATTGGGTAGCATATCATAATTTTAAGAAATGCAGGGCAAATGCCTAACAAATCTCATTCCTGCCTTCTATTTAAAATTTGTTCAAAATAAATGTAGGATTTGATTACTTTTATTAGGAACATTTTAATGGCAAATTTAATCAAGAATTTTATACTGATGTATACATTTATTTTTCCAACATAAACTAAATTTATAAATTTCTTTGATTTATCTGCTGATGCAGTTAAAGCTGCTAATTAAGTTAATAGACTTAATGGTGAGTGTGTGTGAAACCTCAGATCCCTGAGAGTGTTAAAAGCTTGGGCTGGTACAGAGCAAACGATTTGCTGTCCCTCCGTCGATATTAGCCTGGAACAGGAAATGAATCAGTTTCAGATAACCTTGTAGTCTGAATCGGCTCATATTCTGATTGTCTGTCTACTGAAAGGTATGTGGGTTCAGGAGTCTCTGAGACCAGGAAGAATGCAAAGATAAACTCACAAAACCAATAATTGCTCTTGTGCGTGAGACTTCTATCAAGGCTTGTCGAATTTGATTGTAAGAAAAGTGTTCTGTTTCTGGTTTTACTTGGAAATCTGGGACAATGAATGTAAGATAAGTAGAATATCATGCTCTATAATAGATACATCAGCCACACATCATCCCAATCAGTTTCATTTCTGATGATCACTTTATTGCTGTGTGCGTATATATGCAGTCAATCTTCTTGAAGAGAGGCCAAAAAATATCAACAACTTCCATGACAATCACAGCATTTTGGGGGGGCATTATTCCAAGGTGAGAGAGTTGCACTGTCTTCTGCCTTCTTGTCACTCATGTCATCATTACTCTCCCTGTGTCACCCTGTTCTGCTAGCAGCATTAGGACTTGCAGTGTCTAAGAAGGTGCTCTCCTTCTGACCTTGTAACATAGACTATGATCCTGATTCATGAGGACAAAATGGCAGCTTACTGGTTTTGGCACCCATTATATTTTGGTATCGTGGGATCATGACATCTCACAGGCAGAGTGATGCTGATTGAGTTGCCTCATGGGGAGTGCAATCACAGACTGGAAAAGGGGTAAGAAGAGAATTGCAAGTAATACTAAGAAAGTAACAGTGGTCCAGGCAAATCAACTGTAAACATGCTTTTTTGTAACTATCAAACATGAGCAATTGGAATGAAACAACAGGTTTCACTTGAACTTCTTAAAGCAATTAAGGTGAACAAATCAAAAATTAATTCTCACAGCATGCTGTGGAGTGTCCTACTTCACACAAGGCCAGAAAGCCATTACACTGGCTCCTGAATATCCTTCCTCAGAAACAGTCAATAGCAGGACAGTAGAAATACAGTAATTAGAATCTGAAGGAACTATGTAGCAGCTATCCTGGAGATCCAATTTCATCTTGACATTACTTTTGGTAAGGCCCTCGGTGCTTCCTGAAGTAAACTTTGCCTTATGTTCCCCAACAGAAGAATGATAAAATTAAGTATGAGAAGCTTAGTAACCAGTAGAACATATCTCAGTTTGTGCTTGCTTCCAAAGGTGTATTGTTTAATACAGATTGCTTTCTATATCGAAAAGCATCCAAGTTATATTCAGTATATCTGTGAGAAAACTTGTAAATACTTAAATGTGCATAAATCCAGTTTTCACTTTGAAAAACATCCTTCAGAGAGGATTGTGGTTGTTTCAGTCTCAGAGGGACTGTAGAATCCATTACTTCAATTGCATCAAGAGGTCCTTCGTCAAGCACTCATTTTTTTCCAGATTTAGACCAAATGTAACACTACTTATTTTGGCAGGAATGTTTCCTATTTTAAATTGGAGTCCTCAGGAAAAGACCTAGACATCAGGAATCAGCTTTTCAACTTGCATCAATGTGTCAGCTCAGCTAAAATTTGACAGATATCTGACTTTCTGTGCTAGCAAATGACCTTGCATGCAATGTTTGTCATTTTTCTTTTAAGAGGTGTATGTTTGGTGGCCAAAAATGCCACCAATTTGGCATCATTAAGTTAACAGTCCTGTTTAATTTTAAGTAATAATTATTTAAAAAAAAAAAAAAAAAAAAAGTTTCTGGATCGTGGGTATAGTTTCCTTTTGTAGCAACTTGTTGAGAACCTCAGAATCAATTTAATAGCAGTTTTGTTTTGCAGACTCCAGATAAATCCAGATGCATTTTGTTTTCCAACTGCTGAGCCAAAGAAATCTACTGTAAAAGGAAGAAAGAAAATTATCATTTATAACTCTGATTTACTCTTGATAATTAGGTATTACCATCATTCAAATTAAATATCCATGGTAAAAATAATGAAAGATCATGGGCAAAAGACCTAATCTGTGCCAGCTACAAAAAAAATGAAAGATGAACAATGTAAGGTCTGAAGAGAATAGAAAGAAATCTCCATTTCTCAGTACCATTGGTTTAAGTGCAGATATTTTGCAAGTGGATGTGTTCTGAGGGATTACATCATGTGGGACTGTCTCCTACAAGTCCAATTTTCTTTATACAAAAGCTAATAAAAATTACATTTTCTCCTGGTGATAGAAATGAAAGACAGAAGCTCTCTCTAAAGGTTTGCTATTTGAGTTCTGATTTTGACAGCTGTGTCTATGAAACCTTATTTCATTGATGTTCATAATGTATGGCTCCATCTATCCGTCCTCCTTTAAAGGTCTTATTTGTTGTCCTAAGCAATAAACCAAAATGCCATGAACAATACTGTGGCCATAATCACAAAATGAAAATGTAAGCAAGCCACAAAATGACTTGAAAAAGAGTTCAGCTTCAGCCATCAAGAAGTATCTGCAAATAGCATATTTTAAGGTGGTTACAGGAAGCAGCCTGTGAGACTCTGGAACATTTTAGCTACTTAAAATTTAAAGCACTACTACGGTAATGAAGTGTTTTCAGATGTGGGAGTACTTTATAGAAACACTGTGAAAAGAACAGAAATTTCTGGTTTAATAGCATGTAGGATATGGAAACAAGAATTCGGAAAGTGGGAAAATTGGTGTTAAAACCTTGCAGCTGAATACTTAACCTAAGCATTTAAGCTCTTCCTTTTTAAATACAGACATATCTATATATGTCAGGATCACGAGCTGGAAGAATTGTGTTTATTACATCAGAAAAGTCGCTGTGTCATCTTTTATTTATATGTTTCAGATCCGGTATAAACCCAATAGTGGGAGAAGCGATCGCTTGCAACGTTATCAATTTAAAATATAGGCGGATGCTCATTGCAGGAGAACGATTCTACGATTCCATGACTTTCCCTTCTGTCCAGCAGCTCCTGGCTGTCACTTCGTGCTATCCACACCACCGTCCCTGCGACTGTGTGCCCCTCCGCCTCCCCCCCCTTTCCTCCTCGTCCTCCTCCGCCTCCGCTCGGCCGAAATGAGGGAGCGTGGTGGAGCGTCCCAGCAGAAGGAGAGGCTGCAGTGCCGTTATCTTTCCCCATCTCTTCCGTCTGGCTCCGGTGGGCTTCCCTCTTAGGGTGAAACACAAGGAGGAGAGTAACAGAGTGCTTCCTCTTGCTGATGTTTGCTTGTTATTCCAGCTAATTTGCTCCGAGAGGAGAAATAAACTGCACTTTCAGCTGCACCATTAATTCCTGTCTTTTCAGGCCAACGGCACAACTCCAAGCTTCATTAAAAATAACACCAATAATAATAGAATTAGGGAAAACTTCGTCTTTTTCTTTGTTAATTAAAAGAAATCCCATCTCCCCCTCCCCGGCTCACCCCACCCGCGGCTGACTGACAAAGTGAGCAGAATCCGTGTTCTCACACCGCCGGGTATCTATTACATGAGAACTTTCTTCTGGCGCCAGGAGGTATTTGGAGAGTTTGCCTGCTTATTCCGCAGGGAAACCGCTGCGAGCAGGGGATACCTGAGCAACGCCCCTGGCCAAACCGCGGGGAGAGCAGCGAGCCCGTCGTCAGGTCTCGTTGTTGTCTCCACCGTATTGCTGCGCAGCAAATGCTGGAGCAGAGGGGCTGCACCCTGTGTCCCAGCCCTTTCCCTGCGCTTCCCCAGCGGGGCAGCCCCGGAGCCGCTGCCGGTGGAGCGGAGGGGGCTGAGAGGCGATGCTCACCTCGGCGCTGCTCAGGAAAGCGCTCCTCGGAAAGTCCTCGCTGCTAGGCAAAAGAAAGTCTAGTAAACACACTTCCCCCCCCCGTCCCCCCTGCCTAAGGGCATTGTTATTGTCTCCCCTTCCCAGGTGCCTCTCCCGGGGGCTCTCAGCCACGCAGAGGTGCTCTCTTGCTTTAGATGGCATAAAACAAAGGCTGTCACTCATCCACCTGCTGCCGCACCGCCGGCAGCACCCAAAGTCCCTTCGCGCAGGAGCCTCGTGTGCCCCTCACGCAGCCACGCAGCCCTTTTCCCTCTGCGGAAAGATCGAGGCTGAGATGTTTGCCAGACTCCGTTCCCCCCGCCCTCCAACCCCCTCGCAGCCATTCCGCCTTTCTCACCGCCGTGAGCAAAGGAATAAAAGCGCCCTTCTTACATCGCGGCCTTTCCGAAAGTGTGAGTGCACTTTTAGGTGGGAGCGAAGTGACTCCGGGTGCTCTGCTGAGTTCGATGAGAGGACAAAAGCCGAAGGAAAGTGTTACTTAAGGCACTTTATCGAGAACACATCTCTCTCCTCCGCCCTGCTTTGTCGCTGCCAACACCCCAGAGAGTGAACGCTGCTTTTAGCGGCTCCCCCTCCTCTTCCCAGAGATAACCTGACTTTTACGGACTTGGCCTCTGGATTTTTTTTTTTTTTTTTTTTTTTTTTTTCTTCCTGCTGCACTTTTACTTCAGAAAGAACATAAAAGCTGTTTTTCTGTCCTGCCACATCCAGGCTACCCGCGGGCTGCCGGCCCCGCTGCCCCGCACGGAGGGAGGATGGAGCAGAGGATGCTGCCCTCGGAGCGCAGCGCGGGGCGAGCTGTGTTCTAACTTAGGAACGGGGGAAAGGGAAAGGGATTGTACCTAATAACGGGCGTGAAACGCTTCCTCCGTGTACCAGGGGGCATTTCCCCTCCTTCAGCACGCGGAGAGCCTAAAGGATCAAAGTCTTGGCAAGAGGATAAATGGGAGCATGATGTAATGCCCCATCAAAAGCCTTGAAAATGATCCTGAATCCGGAAAACGATACCTTGGCTGAGGTCGCGCAAATCAGAGGTTTGGTGGATATGAGAGGAATCCGTTTTGCTCAGCTTCTTTGGGTGTAAATCCGAAGTCGAGGCTCACTCTCAGTTCACCCAATGGCACTTCCCATTGCCTGCACGAACCCAGGTGCAGGCAAAGATGATCTGAGAATTTGGCCATTCCTTTATTTCCCAGCCCCTCTCTCTGCCCCATCCCGACATTAAAAGAGAAGGAATATTCATTCTACATCGCCTTTAACTGGCTGAGGAAGAGGTGGGTGCGGAAGGTGAGATTTTGCCATTGTGGCTTTTGAGACCGGGTACGATTTTCTCCTTTGTTTAAAGAAATTCTGCACTTTCTCCCATTAATCTTTAGCAGGGAAAGCGTTCAGCCCGCACCTGTATAAACAACCCGGACTACGGGGGGGGGGGGGGGGGGCATAGGGGGAAGTAAACCTATATCTCTCCCTCTGCAGTACCTTTAAATATATATATATATACATACATATATGTTTGTATCGATATATATGTATGTATATAAGGGAAAATGTAGGTGAACTAGGGAGGCCAAGCAACCCCCAAGGCTGGCGTGCTCCCCTTTCTCATTGCCAGCGAGAGCATCTCAGTGTCAACCCGAGTTCAAGAGATCCAGTTGCAGGACCAGCCGCGTGTTTCGGCGCTTCAAGCAATGTCAAGTTTCCCTTGGAAGGGTTGCTCCCAACCCGGCTCTGATGTGGTTCTGGCCCCAGCGGGCGAAGCCGAGGTTTACACAGCGTTAAGTGGCCGCGGGCCGCGGAGCGCTGGGCGAAAGCACGGCCGCGGGTGCCAGGAAAGTCGCTCTGCGGCAGCGGGAAGGTTCCACTTAACTCGGGAGGGAAATGTAAGGGGAAAAAAAAAAAAAAAAAAAAAAAACGGGAGCGAAATTTCGGGACAAGATCTTTCCACCTGTTGTAGTCATTAGGTTCTTTTCTATTCTGTGTAGTGGAACTGTTATTCTGCTTAGCTGCGCGCAGACAGGGCCGGGAGGGCAGCGGGGAAGCAATGTGTTGCTTATTCATTCTGGGAAAGAGGCAGTGTCAAGGGCGAGGGAGGGATGCATCTCGGGGGCTCTTCTCGTATCCCCCCTGTGGAACGTTTACCCGAGCGTTCACCCGTCCTTTCCCCCGCGAGGATCTCCCGCACTGCCCGATATCCCTCAGCCCACCGGGCGGCACCGCGCCCCTCCGCGCGGCGCCGCTCCGGGAGTTGCGGAAGGCACCGCCCCACCGCGGGGCTCGGCCGGGGGCTGCCCCCTCCTCCTCCCCCCGGCCCGGCCGCCTCTCGGCCCCGCGGCCGCCGCTATATAGCGCTGTGCGGGGGCGCATCCCCCCGCCGCGCCCCCCGCGCCCCCGCACGGTCTCTCCGCGGCGGGGCCGCCCAGCGCTGCCCGCAGCCGCTTCGGCCGCCCGCCCTGCCTCCGCCGCCGCCGCCTCTACCCCCAGGGGCCATGTCCGCGGGCTCCGGGAGCGAGACAGAGGAGCTGCCCGAGATGGACCTGCGGGCGCTGCAGCTGGACTACCCGGCGGCGGGCAAGAGGCAGCCCCGTGGCGAGCTCTACCCCTCTGGGGACAACTCCTCGGCGGCGGAGGAGGAGGAAGAGGAGGAGGAAGAGGAGGAGGAGGAGGAGGACGGCGAGGGCAGCTGCGCGGCGGGGGCGGCGGGCTGCAAGAGGAAGCGGGCGAGGGGCAGCGGTCCCGGGGGCAAGAAGGCGCCGTCGGGGCCGCGGGGGCCGGCGGCAGAGGGGAAGCAGTCGCAGCGCAACGCGGCCAACGCGCGGGAGCGGGCGCGGATGCGGGTGCTGAGCAAAGCGTTCTCCCGGCTGAAGACCAGCCTGCCCTGGGTGCCGCCCGACACCAAGCTCTCCAAGCTGGACACGCTGCGCCTGGCCTCCAGCTACATCGCGCACCTCCGGCAGCTGCTGCAAGAGGACCGCTACGAGAACGGCTACGTGCACCCCGTCAACCTGGTACGGGATGCCGGCGGGGGAGCCCGGGAGTCCGCAGAGCTCGGGTCGAGCCGCCGTCCGGGCATTGCTGGCGGCGCTGCCCCGGGTGCCGGGTCCGGGCGGGTGCTGCAGGTCCGGGCAGTGGGGGGAACCCCGGAGAGGTCAATTCCTCGGGTATGAAGCAAGTGTTATGTCCGAGAAAGGAGCAATTCGCAGTCCAAAACCAAGCGCCCGCGAGGGTATGAAGTTGGCTCACGTAGCGTTTCCGAATAGTTTCTAAATCTTGTGTTTATAGAACGATGCAAACAGTCGCAAAGCGAGATGAGTGTTGCATGCCTGATGAGAACAATTTGTTGCACGTCGCAGCATTACGTGGAGAGTTTCATTATAATGAAAATAACGTAATGAAAATATTTGTTAGAGGAAGTCAGCTTTCTCGGTGCTTCCCGCAGGGACTAAAACACGATGACGTGTTTGCAAGTGAAGTAGAATTAGACATCTATCAGTAATAAAGCTCTGGTTTCACACTAGGATAAACTTTCTAACGCCAAATCCCTCTTTTTGCTTGCAGACTTGGCCATTTGTGGTCTCAGGACGACCCGACGCTGACACAAAAGATGTCTCTGCAGCCAGATTATGTGGAACTACCGCTTAGCCAAAGTAATTTTTTTCTCTTGTCGACCTTTTTTTATGGGCTGGATCTTTTTAAGAGCTATCATTTTATCGGCTCAAGACCCAGAGATGGGGACCAACCCCCATCTCTATGTGTTAAATCTGTGTTTCCCCTCAGTTCTTTCCCTTAGAGCTCTGAGGGGAATCTATTTAAAGCAGTAAAGGAAGGAGACGCTGGAAAGGAGAGCTGTTATGAACTGTCTGCAGCCGCTGAAGTCTGAGATTTGGAAAAGCCCTTCTTGGGCTTTGCCATTTGTGCCGCTGCCTGAGGACCTGTTGTTCTGAGGCTGTTAAACTAATGGAAGAGGAACAGATTGTTATAGAATTAACAGCATGGACCAAAACACAACTCTACAAACTAACCCCAAACAGTGTTATTTGTATTCTAAAGCAAAGCAGTATTTTAGATTAGCTTTGAAACTCAGATTTATAATATATTTTGATGGCTTTTGTATTCACGGGTCGGGTTTACTGCAACTATGCAAGAAGTGTAACCATTCTTTGTTTTTGTCCTTTTAACCGGAGTTTTCTTGAAAATATGTAAGCAGCTACATTCTGCATTTAGGCTACCACGCAATGGAATGAAACTAATTCCTTTGGTTATGCCTCGAAGTGCCACATGTAACAATGTGGGACTGTCCCCAAGATGTGGGCACAATTTCTACATCTTAATACGGAAGAGAAATTCTGCTCACTGAAAGGCCAGGGTGCATGCGCTGTAAAGAATGAATTGTGTGGTGCTGCAATACAGCAAGGATTCACAAGGTGTTAAACATTTCTTCTACACTGCTACACTTCCCTTTGATAAGTTGACCCTCAAATGAGTTCCAGTAATGTTTCTTCACTAATCCAAATGCTGTAATAAAAGGAGGATGCCATCAAATAAGTTGCAAATGTAAATAACTTTATTTTTTTATAAATGACATTAAAAGCTTGGTTACAGTGACTAACAGTACTGTGACAGTGTGTGGCTGCTTTAATGTAGGACAATCTTTGCAGTGCCGATCCTTGAAAGCCTATTCTGTAGGTATACCCTTCTCTTCCTTATCTCCTGAGAGCAGATACATCTTCAGCAGCAGACAAGGACACTTTCACCCCAACCTGCTCACATTAGGTACAGCACTATGACAATCATCAGAGAAAAACACAATTTAACACCCTATGGAATTTATTATCATAATCTTTTCTTTGAACCAGGAAAATAAATGCAGATATGAAAATTATTTCAGTCATTTGCTCTACTTCACGGCATGAAAGATAGAGCAACAGCTCCTTTGCAGTTCATCAATTTCCCTTTTCCATCTACAGTTTTGCTTTTATTTGTGTTTGTGCAGTGGGATAAGCAGCAGAGTTGTTCCAGTTGGAAGCAGACTTTTCCTTCTTTAAGACCAAAACACCCGAGAGAAGGCTTTCTTCTGCTCCAAATATTTTCTCAGAGGTTACTTCATTGTAAGGGAGAAGGCTGAATTGCTCTGGAGAAGAGAAGGCCTCCTCTACTTCATTTAAGCAGCCAGGAAGGAGAAGCATTTGCTTAACAAGTATGAGTTTAGCCTGGTTTCTGATCATCTCATATTGCAAATTTCTGTTTTCAAAAACTGTCTAGAATCCCAGGACTGGCGTTCAGTAATATCTTTCATACAGATGAAACTGCAGAAAAGTGTTATTTTCCCTGAAAGATATGAAATAGTCCACAGCTACTGAACAACAGAATGAGAGCCTAATCCAGGATCTGCTGAAATTCTTTTCTGTGATTTGAGGGCAAGTTGTACTGAGACTGCAGCCCGATTTATCTTTTAGTTTTACCGAGAGAAAGGCTGTGAAGAAAGGGGTATCCTAAGTGGTAGTTGTGCCACTGAGGGAGGACCGCAACCAATTGTATCTATAAAGCTACATAAAAAGAAAACAATATGAACAGTAAATCAAAAAGGAAGGGCTTATAGGAAAGCGTAAGGTATAAGAAAACTCAACTAATGTTTATCTGAACCCCAGAGAAAAGATTATTCAGAAATTTAACTGAGGTGCCGCTTGAGATCATCTGAGTTGTGATACCGAGCTGTTTTTGGCCTTGATCCCAGCTGTAATTGGGTAACGACTCCAGGAGATCGGAAAAACAAGGAAAGCGTGGAGAACTTTAAACAGTATAGAAAGGTCCATGTGAAATGATGGAAAAAAATGTTCAGGGTAAATTCCCAAATATGAAGTAGGTTATATTAAGTAAATACAGTAGGCCAAAACGGGGGGTGAGGAGTGTGACATGAAGGAAAACATATTATTGCTTCCATCCGTGCACCATACTACATGCTCTTGTGATTCTTGTGTGTGTTTGAGGCTACAAAGTATATATAAAAAAATTTTCTTTGCAAAATAATGAATGCACTTACTGTCTTTGATGCTGTAAGAGATGCATCAATACAATGGTGGTGCCCTGATGGACTATCACCAGTTTTAGAATAGAAATACTCAACGTTCACTTCAAGGTTTAAAGACAAAATCAAGAGAGAAAAATGTAGCTTTTAGTAAGCCTCATGTCTTTGTTTCAAATGCCTCTTCATAGAGATATGTGTCAGGGTATAATTACTTATCTTAATAGAGCAATTAAGCACCTTTGAGTTTCTCTAACGAGGATGGATTCTGGTATTTCAAATCATTCATTTTAATCCTTGGGTTCATAAATATTTTTTGCAAAAAGTACAAGGTTTCTACTTGTACCTCAGTGAGAGGCATTATTTGATTAGGAAGAAAAGAAGCAGACGCGCTCCTTGTGGATTTGTCCTGAGATGAGGGTTCAGAGAAATGCCAGGCAAGCCATGTGTTCTGGCATGCCTCACTTTCAAAATTACACACAAATGCACACACACATTATTTTAACTCGCAAACAGACGAAATTTAGATCCGTGCTTTTTGATCAAGATACTCTTTTTAAGCATTAGCAGATTCCATAGGAAGATAATGTGCTGTGGCTCTTTATTTTTTTAAATTATGTTTTTGCCTACCTGATTGAGTAAGCTCATTTGGTTTTCAAAGTTTGAGTGTTTCAACTGGATGTGAGCTATGTAACCGGATGGAGAATTTAAATGAAAAACCGTCTTGTATTTCTGCAGTTCACAAACATGGAAGCGAGCAGTCCACATACATTCATATTTGACAAGTATGTGTTCGATGAATATTTTGTTACATTAATGACATCTGTGGTCTTTGGCAGAAGGTACAAGGGGAACCCATCTTGTTTCCATAAAGGTATACAAATTTGGCTAGCACTGTTTTACAAATAAAATGCCATCATATGAATGCAATTCATATTCAGCTGAGACCTGCTTCGTGTGCAATCTTAAATGCAGAGTACCTGCACTGACTGTCCTGGCAGACAATCAGGAGGAACATATGTTTCCCAAAAGTATTTTTATGACTTTAAATTTGCATAATTTATATTAAAATTGTATAATTGTATAAATTGTGTGAAATTTTGTTTTGCGTCTACTTTACATGACAGAGCAGATCATCAGCCAGAAAACTTGTGTCTCCAATGCAAATCCATTCCTTTCCAATACACGTGTTTGGTTACATAAGGAAAATACATCTCCTATACTGGAAATGCCAACAATTCTGAGTATAAGAAACATAGTTTGCAATTAAGGAATACCTGACCCATACATTTCCCATTTAATACCTTTACACACAGACTGTTTTAAAACCTCCCAGCCATGCTATGGATTCTGAACAACGATTCATTTTCCCAGTTCAGTAGAGACAACTGTTAGAAGTACAGTTGCAATAGAGGTCTCCCGGATGAATGAGGGAGAAATTCTTTGTAAGATCTCATTAATATCTTGAAGTTCATTGGCTGTAGAAGGACCCTAATGTGACCAGTTGGAAGATTTGGCTGAATATCTAACCTTTTAGTTAACCATCCAAAAAACTGGGTAGGATAAACCCAGGTTTAAATGCTTGAACTTCATATGAGCCAAGCAAGATAAAAAGAAGGAAGAACTGGGTTGTGGAGCTATCCACTCGTGAGCTTATAATATAACCAAATAATAGTTGCATTATTTGAATGAAACTGCATGGAAAGCTATCAGTTCTACTGGAGAACAGTCACTTCCTCCACAAGTAGCTAATTCTACATTACAATACATATGGATTTGATGTTGCAGCACAGATTCTCACCAAGGCTAATGGTAATTATGTCTAAGAAATATGTTCCATTACTGAGAAGTCTTTACTGCTCTCCATTCTGAGAACTGAGAGACTTCTATACAGACCAATGCACAGAGGGTGGATGCTGAGCTGACTCTGTAACTTTCCAACTGTTTGACCTTTGCCCATTCAAGGAAAAAATCATTTGGTAGTCAGTGCAAACTGTGGGGAATCCTTAGGAAACAGTTATTTTAACAACTGAAGATAATAATTTCAGAAAGATTACTAGGAATGTGCACTATTTTCAAGTGTCTGAAATATTTAGGAGAGTAAATTCTGTGATTTTCAAAAAGATTTTCTTCTCTAAGTTTAAAGTAGATTTTTAATCAACTGAGCAAAAATGCTTTCACACTAGGACTCCGAAAACATGGGTATAGTCAAAAATTATTTGTGTGTTTTTTGAGAAATATATGCATTTAAGAACACACTTGTTATAGAAATTGATATTTGTAATATATTCCAACAAGAGTGCACTGGAAGTCTCGTGTCCCCACAGTGCAGGCTCACTAAGATTCAGGTTCTGAGAGGAAATAGGTCTCAGTTTCTTCATTGGTTCTGAACAGCTTGCAAAATAATTATAAAAGTAATTTTTAAAATGCCTTCTTTGGAATGCAGCATGAGAATTCTACCAGAGTTAAAATTCCTAGTAAAGTTTAGACAGCTGATCTAAGTGTTCCTGCTCCGGCAGGGGGACTAGACTAGATGACATTTTGAGGTCCTGTCGAATCCCTGACGTTCTGTGTGATTCTGTGTGATTCATATAGAATCATCCAGCCAGACAAATAAAACTGAGAAAACCTACTGGCTTTTCCATCACTTCCGTAATGCTGGTGCTGGTGGTCTGAGAGGGTCTGGGACAAGAAACATGCTATTTGAAGAACTATAATTAATCTTGATGATGTGATTGGAATTTAGCAACTGGAGGAAATCACTCAATCCTCTCTTGCTGGTGGAATTGTTTAAAAGAACTAAAATTTCCAGCATCGAAAAGAATTCATAATGTTGCAAGTGTTCCAAGACAACAAAACAGGCGGAGCTGAAAATTTGGAGATATGAACAGGCACAAACCCAACCCAAGGAAACTAATTGCTCAGCATCTGGAGCAAAAAGTTGCAAGAACAGCAAAGGATTGCATCACTTTGTAGGAGTTTACAAAGTTCAGTGTAGTGACCACAGACAAAGTGTACACAGTGGATAGAAAACAGCAGCATTAGCTTACAGGAATTTTCATAGGAACAACAAGAATAAGCTACATGGATACGAATTCTGAAAACAAATTGATATTTTTTAAAAAATTATTCTGATTTGCTGTGATGGAAGAAGGAACGGTATTAACACTGTAAATCCTAGTCAGTAAAAGGCAAAATTCAGGCCAGTGGAGGGCCACAAAGATGATAAAGGGCCTGGAGCATCTCCCTTATGAGGAAAGGCTGAGTAACCTGGATCTGTTCAGCCTGGGGAAAAGTGGACTGAGGGGAGATCTGATAAATATTAATAAATATCTAAAGGAAGGTGGGAGGCAAATGGATGAGGTCAGGCTCTTTTTAGTGGTACGTAGTGATAGGACAAGGAGTAATGGCCTAAAACTCGAACATAGGATGTTCTGTATTAACATGCAGAAGAACTTCTTAATGGCAGGGTGACAGAGCACTGCAACAGGCTGCCCAGAGAGGTTGTGGAGTCTCCTTCTATGGAGATACTCAAGACCCATCTGGCTGCCTACTTGTATGACTTATTGTAGGGTACCTGCTTTAGCAGTGGAGTTGGACTCAGTCTCTTCAGGTCTCTTCCAACCCCTGCAATTCTGTAATTCTGTGATTCTTACTAAAATGTACCTTTCATGAGGGGAGATTGTGATTAAATGTTAGATGGAAATTTTTCACTCAGAGGGTGATGAAGCACTGGCACATGGATGCCTCATCACAGAAGTTATTCAAAACCAGGTTAGATAAAGACCAGGGCAGCTTGATTCAATGGGTAGCAACCAAGCCCATGGCAGGGGATTGGAACTAGATGATCTTTAAAGTCC